GTGGACAAACTCTGGACAAACTCGAGCTTAGCCTGAATTGTTTGTCTAGTTTGAGATTCTGTAAACCTGGCATTTTCCTACCAGCAGAGTAGCGCTCTCACTATTCTATTCCTTTGAGTCGCGTGCTCTTCTCTCTCTAATTTCGGCCACTCGCATCTGCCTATCCATTTCACTTATGATTCCACATCGGCTGCCACTCCGATGCTTCTTCTCCGAAACATAAGGTGATCCGAAGCTCTCCTGACTAAGCAATGCTACAGAAATGCAGTCATCCCTGTAAAGTCCAAAAGGAACTTTGATGTATCCCCAAACTGGATTGCTTACATGAGGACACGGTATCTCTTTCCCCTGATTATCTTGCACATTTACACTGCTTTTCTGTGTTTTACAAGCGGTAACATATCGCATATTTATTTCTTACACTCCATCACTGACACATCCTTGAGGCTTCAAGGTCATTCTTATTATTACGTTACTGTGACACTGCCCAAATACTCGATCCGCCCCACGCTGTACAGTTTCTGCCCACTTGCATTACGATTGTCAAACCTATTCGTAAGTCATGTACTGTATTTATTATGCCTTATAGAACCACGGTTACAGGATAATTCGTTTTATTCTTCTGCCCAGACCGTGCGTTAAGTCTAGGTTTATCTGTTCGTAGTTTCTAGTTTACTTTTCGTACGACGTACTTAGTTTAGGCTTAGTGACGTTGGTACAATCCCCATAGTCTCGATATGAAAGCAGCAGGGGTTTCTTCCTCTGTCGCACTTCTATTCACTCTGCTTCAGATCACTATTCCAACTTTCAACGCACATTCATCATCGTCGATGATTAAGGGCCTCAAGACTTCCATCCATTTTTGCTGGGGCGTGCTTTAGACTTACTAATACTGCCACTTGTCGGCACACTGCGTTACCATCTTGCATGTCGTTCCTGGTTGAATTTGGTTTATTTTCTCTCTGCCCTGTAGCAGACCATGAGTGGCAAGAAATAGCATATCTTTTATTTGGACAGGAATCACCGAAGGCCTCTTTAGGGTAAGCATTGTGCACAAATCCCTACTGTACGGTTGTGAAACCTGGCCCCTTAAAGCAACGGACCTGAAGAGGCTAGTTACGTTCGACCATCGGTGCCTTCGCAGTCTGGCTCACATCTGGTGGGAACACCGCGTGAGCAACGAGCGTGTTCGACGCCTTGTTTACGGCACAGGAAAAGGAACTGAACCGCACAGCACCGTTATTTCACGCATCAGGCTCCGATGGCTTGGCCACGTGTTACGCATGCCAGCCCACCGACTCTCGCGGCCTTCGTTGTTTGCTCACCGGGGGTGTGGATGGAAGAAGAAGGGGGTGGCTAAGCGATGACTTGGTCCAAAGGAACGATGCCTCTTACTTCGGAGCTGGCCTCTGTTGGAGCGTTTCGGCTCCCTGGTTGGGGTCCGAAAGACGATGAACAAGTTTGGCTGGATGCACTTGCTGACATGGCAAGGAGCCGACCACAGTGGCGTTCGTGCTGTGGGTTCCTTTGTCCTTCCCCATCCCTTTTAGCCTCCCCCTCCACCTACGATCTCATTTCTTAGCGTAAAACGTAATAATTTTTCTTTTTGCCTAGTAGCCGGCTGGTAGCTTACCGGAACGATGCCTATCTGTTGCTGGTAGCTCAGCTGGCATGCAACTTTTGTATTTATTTTCCTTTTTCATTTATGTATTGCGGCACAGTAGCTGAGGTGTTCCCCACCTCTGGCTAACGTGTATGATGATGATGAGTGTGCACAAATGCATCAGCTTCGCTTTTCGCCCTCAAATAACGGATCTTCACATTAAGATCGTATTTTTTGATTTCGCACCGCTCAGCTGGCTCGGGTGCTTTTCGATTCGAACATTTCAATTTTCCCTGTTTGCGTAGGTCATGAAGCCATGGGAACGCTCTCTGCTTAGCCGTTCCACCCAGTGTGACTTACCGGTAGCTGAAATTCTGAATGTTCGAAGGCAGCATTCACCGATTGGTTTCGCTGTGGGTTGCCTACAACAATTTACCGTGCATACGGCTCTACTCCACCAGACGTGAGATTTTCTTCGCGCATGAACACTAGTATTGCATGTTCGGATGGCCAATTCCTGTTCCGAGCCAACTCTGTTTCTGTCTCTCCTCTCTGTCTCATAAATCTAATCTTTCCCTTACTTGCTCTGTGACGCACCGAACCAGCACATATGTGATTGTTGGTCTTTGGAGGACTCGCCGTGTGTCTTAGATTGCGACACGCAATCTTGCTAGTGGCCTCGGTTGATTTCGAAATCAAGCCCTGTCATTCCGATCACTGTGACCGTATCAGAAGTGGCCCAGTGAACATAGCAACCGCAGCCAACCACTATGTGCCAAATTCTACTCCCATTTCTCTCTATATCTGATGAGTCCGGGCAAGCATGAGACGCGTCGTTGAGTGCAGTGATAAGGTAGGCCACACTAAAACCTCGACAGCGCATATGTGCTTTCTTACCTCACAGCCCTGTCTCCACGCGATGGTGCACCATGACTAGAAACGCGAGCAGACTGCGAAATGCAGTGCTCCCTGCTAGCCAATCGGCTAACAAATCATATTCGGACGTCAAGGCCAACTGCAGGGCACGGCATTTTATGTAGAGAAGTGCGTTTAACCTATTAATGTAAGCGTTTACCTCTCGAAAGAATTCCCTTGTCAGTTTAGTTTGCACGCTTTTATCCCCTGTGGGATCGGAGTGATAAGTATAGGGCACGGAAGGCCATCCCGTTTTGGAGAACGCAGACCCCCAGAAGATCGCATAACCCCTGTCCAAGTAAACACAGACACTGACGTCTCTGTAAGCCACGGGTCGCCATTCGTTTGTCACAGCTGGCCGGTTAGCTAGAAAAAAATGACTAACACGGGCTGGATACCTGACAAAATGGTTAACGTGGGTCGCATAATCATTATGCTCAATAATTGAAACGCAGAACAAAAAACCTTGAGGAAAACACACCACTGTCATTTCCAGTTAAAATTAGAGCACACATGCCAGTTACAGAGAACCGATCAGAAGATTAGCACCGCTGTTCATCATCATCATCATACTACATGTTAGCTGGAGGTGGGGAACACCTCAGCTACTCTGCCGCAATACATAGAAAAAAGAGAGAAAGAAAAGCAACTGGTGCAAGCTGGCTGAGCTACCGGTAACGGATGGGCATCGTTCCGGTAAGCTACCAGCCGGCTGCTGTGCACCAAAAAAATTACTATGCAAAATTATATAAGGCTAAATAATGAGATCGTGGTTGGAGGGGGAGGCTAAGAGAGATGGGGTGGGACAAAGAAACTCACAGCACGAACGCCACTGAGGTCGGCTCCTAGCCATATCAGCAAGTGTGTCCAACCAAACGTGTTCATCGTCTTTCGGACCCCAACCAGGGAGCCGAGACGCTCCAACCGAGGCCAGCTCAGAAGTGAGGGCCTTCATTCCTCTCGACCAAGTCATCGCTTGGCCACCCCTCCTCTTTTTCCATCCACACCCCCGGCGCGCAAACAACACACGTCGCGGGAGTCGGTGGGCTGGCATGCGTAACACGTGGCCGAGCCATCGGAGCCTGATGCGTGAAATAACGGTGCTGAGTGGTCCAGTTCCTTTTCCTGTCCCGTAAACAAGGCGTCGAACACGCTCATTGCTCACGCGGTGTTCCCACCAGATGTGAGCTAAATTACGAAGGCACCGGTGGTCGAACGTAACTAGCCTCTTCAGGTCCGTTGCTTTAAGGGGCCAGGTTTCACAACCGTACAGTAGGGTCGAACGTACTGCTGCATTGTACACTCTACCCTTCAGGGCAAGAGTGATGTCGCGCCGGCGCCATAAGTGGGGAAGGTTAGCAAAAGCGCCCCGAGCTTTTGCTATACGGTTCGTGATCTCATCTTCAATCCCACGGGCGCTGATACAACTTCCCAGGTGAATTTTTGAATGACTTCTAGCTGATCCCCACCAAGGGTCAGCGTAGGGGGCGGTCCAGATCAATCTTGGAGGAACGCTTAGCACCGCTGCTAGATCACTGGATTCAAAGGGTCATACCGGTTACGCTAGAATAATCAGGATCTCACCACTAATCCGACTTTTCATCTTATGAAGGATGTGTTCGCGACCATTGGCGACCGAAGGTGTCAAACTCTAAACGCGTCTTACTTAGAAAGGCACTGCGTACCATAATCGTGGATGTCGACTGTCGTTTTATACTCATTTTTTGTAAATTATGTTAGGCCACTTTGATATTCCTTGCAAGTAGGTGTCAACATATCATTTGACGAATGCTCATCACTGAAGCTGTCAAGGAGCCATTCCTGGTAAGCTGCTGCACCCTGTACAGAATATGTGGCTCACCAGATGAGATTCTTGATGGTCACGAACGGAAGTGTATTTTGAGCGTTGCATTGTTTCTCTCTCTCATTCACACACTGCACGACGCTTTTCGTCCTAGTTTAAACTCGTCATCTAGAGATGTGTGTTGATACTGAAAACAATGGTATATTTCGGCTGTAATTGGTCTCGTTCCGCGGACAGTTAGTGTGCTCAGGTTTCCGGATATGTGTAAAGCACTCGGAAGCACTTTCTATCACCATGTTGTGCAGCTTTTCTTAGCCATCATAAAGGCGTAAGAGGCAGGCAATTATTTCAAAACATCATGTGTATCGGATGATAGTGCCCAGACATCCAACCTAGGTACTGCAACGGTCCTTGCTCTGCTAAACAGAGACCATCCCATCTCTCTTTCCGGTCTCTGGCGATACTACTTGGAATCAATCACTGGTCTTTGATTATACCAGCCTACCACACTATTTCAAAGAAACAACTTTTAGTGCCACCGACTCGAAGTCGTACTGATATCTTCTGTCATCTGGCTTCACCAGTCTCTATCATCCTTTTTTCCCACTCCCTCAACTCCTTACACTGCTGTTTTACCAAATTTGGCGGTCAACTTCTCTTCATGCGTTGCTGTTTCAGTGACAGAAATGTTGGTCAATGTGCTCAACATTTGCTCGGATGATGAGCTATTGTCGGACAGTCCAGAGGATGAATGTAAGTCAATCGTTATTCCCTGTACACTTGTTGTCCAACCTTCATCCCCAGCCTTCTATTGAATATCTATGTCTGTTGGTAGTGTGGTTGCCTACTATAATCGCCTTTTTCCTTCATTGCAATTATTAAATGAACGTTTATAATCTGGTATGTTTTTGGTAAGGAACGAGTACTCTGTACGGTTGCAAAGTGTATCACAACGTAATCTACTGCATACGCGATCACCCACATATATCGGTTTCCGTGAGTTCGCGCGGCTTTACATATCCGGTTGGTGTTGTGTTATGGCCCACAAGGTCACACCATGTTGCTCTGATTGGTTGTTTTCAACCCGACCTCTCTACTTGTGTGATCAAGGAGGCGAGACCTCGGTCACCAGTTTAAGCACCGCAAGTTACAAGGCACAGACGGGTATTTTTGTGCTCTGGGTGAGCTTCTTGAGTGTTCTCCCTTCTCGTTCATCTTTCACTTGTGAATAACATAACATTGTTCGAGAACGCTTTTCTGATCGGGAAATTAGATTATTATACCGAATTTCAGGGAAGAAACTCTTTTGGCTGATATAGAGTCCGCCGCTCAATTCCTTAAGAGTTGCTCTTTCTGACTATTTAGACACAAGAGATATGCTAGAGTGGCATAATTGCACCCTAAGTTTGGTGCGAAGTGTACTGAACTGTGGGTGCATAAACATTTGAATTTGGACTTTGTTTCATGGGCATACTGTTCCGAAACGGCATCCTAGATGGCTGTTGTACTCACCTATTCTCAGTTGGTTGTTACGATCCAGTGTCGGTAAGCAGGGGCATACATGGCTGGGATCACGCAGAATCTGATACGCTGTTATAATGTCACTGCTACTACCACTACTGCTAGTATGTCTATTTCTTGGACACAAGAGAATTTGTTCCTCTTCCGGGGGACAGACCACGATGTGCAGTTGAAAGGGTAAGGGAAGGAAGATATCAGCAGTACGCTCCGTTATGCAGTACCGACACTTCGCTGCTTCATGACCACCACCAGTTGCACCTGGGCTAAGGATACTATGTAGGCTGGAACCCGCGTTCTCGGAGTACAAGACAAGCTTGTGGTCCTTAAGGCTACGGGCCAGCAAGTTACAATCACACTCTTGCCTGAGTGCTATAAGGACTCGATCGTGTTTGTGTTGCTGAAACGTTATTGGACACACGGTTTTTATTGGTGCTGTTTTCTCTTCTATAGCCGTGTTATGTTCCCACCTGCTACACATTTATGTGTCTTTCTTGATATTACTCATCCGAGAAATGCTCATTATCCCATTCTTGTCAATGAACCTTTCGTGTGTAGTGCCGAATGTTCTCGCATGTACACAACACTTGATTTTGGCTAGTTGACTGTCCGCTACAACTCTGTGTATTGCAAAGAACTTGGCGCAACTGACTGCTCTACTGCTTAACAGGATTTGTGTGTAACCTATTTTACGAACTCTCCGAATGAAATCATAATGCATTTCTAATGTGGCTAGATCGCGTTGCTTCTTCTGGTGTATGCGTCGAGGCCTTTAAATCGGCCGTTGCCGTTTCACTGGAACACCGTTTTTACTTTATCTGCCGGGGATTTAGCAGTCTTCACCGGATATTATCGACATTTTCTTCGGTTATACTCGTTCAAGGTCGCCAGCGCTGTACTGTGTTGCGTTTTAGAAACGTGCTTTGAGGTGGTGGTTCGGTGTTGCTCCTTCCAACCCTGACACCCCATAACCGGTTTCGTCCTCCCTTGGACTCATCAGATGGAGATAGCCTGAGCTGGGGTGGATTTCGAGACCTAGTGTTCAAAGGTTGACGCCTTGACCACTATGGCTCTAAGATCCGGGAGCAACGCTTTGAGATGCTGCGCATAAATATAACGAACGCGCTTTTGTAACTTAAAGAACCATCCTCCCGATTGACAAACTAGGATCCGGCACTGGAATATCAAGAGAAAGAAAATGCCAATTGTTCACTTTTGCAACGCGTTATCACACATATATATATATATATATATATATATATATATATATATATGGACCGTATTCGGGTGATGCCATTGCACCCGATGCCAATTTTTTTATCGACAAATGCATTTTTAAATTTCCCATCCGCGGTAGTTATTGTAAACTGCTGAAAATACACGCTTTCGGGTACATTAAACCTATATTGACTTGATTTGACTTCAATCAAAAGGATTCGATGTGAACCAGCACGCAACGCTTTTGATAGTTCAAGGTGAACATTTTACTACCCAGACGTTTGGTGTGGAACAGATTTTCTACAATGTTTGTGCCACCCATGTGCATGCTTCCATAAATGGTGCTACAGTTTTAAAGATGGGAAAGGTCAGGATTTCGAATGATCTGCTTTGACAGGAGCTGTGCGGGTTTTATGATTTATCTTGACCATAGACTATCATACGCGTGCTATTTGACCTCTAACCTGTTTAGAATAGGGGAACTTGGGAGAATGCCACATTCCGACAGCTTTATACGTACATCTTCACTGCTGAGTTTCACTCGACTTTTCAGGGACCGTGCAACTATAGAACATCATGCCTGATTTGTTCATCGTGCACTTCACAAACCACGTGCCATATGAATATTTTCTTCATTTAGCAACGGGACATTTAGGAGCTACCGTGAGCGCAAATCACATAATCCCTTTACCTTCGGTCTTCGTTGGCATGGAAGATGTCGCGGCCTGATTGACCTTCCTTGATACTCTATGCTATCCAATCACTAGTGCAACAGAACGGCCACACCTCTCATGTGGTTGTCAGGCTTGCATGGTGTAAAGGCGCAAGCAAGTCTAAAGCATTCATTAGATGAGTGGATCGAGACTCACGCGTACCTTTGAACAAAACAAGTCCATTCGTACTGTTTGGAACGGCTGATGTCGTCCTTTATAAGTTCACACAGAGGTTACAGTTCTGAGAACACATGTAAGTCGAGTTCATCAGGTCTAAAATGTTGGCGTGTCGGGAAGGCGACTGTACACCTCGATATTGCTCACCTTTAATGACAGTCTCATGTGAATCGGGCAATTAGATGCTTTACCAAACTCTTGTTGGTGTAACTCGTGGTGGTTCGACCTCTTCGTCGCTCACCAAACTCTAAAATCCTCGGTAACAGTAGGAAAATCCGGGTAGAGTTGGACTTATCTAGCTGACCTATTTCGTCAATCTGAATATCTCATTAGATGGGGCTGACAGATTTCCATTCATGGCCCCATTACTTTTAGAGGTCCTTACTATAATTTTCCAGATTCGTACTTGGATCTGCGTTTCCAAAGGTATCTGCCCCGGCTGACGGATTACTCCAAGTCAAGCCACATCCTATGAAACGATTTGTCTATGCAGATAAATCCGGAGTGGGAAGGTGGGCATCAGCAGTACGCTGGTACGCAGTACCGACACTTCACTGCCGCGCAACCACCACCGGTTGCATGCTGGCTAAGGATACTGCGAGGGTCGCCCTGCCCCTACGCGGGCTCGAACCTGCGCCGTCAGATTACAAAGCAAGCTCCTTGCCTTCAGGCTACTGGCCGGCGCGAGGGAAGTTGCGAGGATAGGGAACAACGGTTGATCAAATACTGAACTGTCGACTCATTATCCCCCTATAAGACCGGCGACTTAACGCAATAAAGCTCGCTATGCAAGCCAGCACACATATCCACTCTGGGGTTATACGTAGTATCTATTGTAGTTGAATTACTGTCATTAACTGCTCTTGCTACGGCTTGATCTACGTATGCTGTTCACATCATTTGTCAGTCGTCACTAACTGGCCAACTCGCTTTACATGCTCTACAATATATTGTGCCCCCCCCCACCACTTGGCACTGATTGTGTATTTGGTGAAAACAGCTTTCTTTGAGCATCCTCATGATTTCCCACATAACCGCTCGTTTTAAGCAAACCACATTTAACTTAACCCTGTCATGCCCCGGGATCTCCACCGGCGCACTATCGGACTGGGTGTTATCATTTCAGACAGAGTTAGTTCATGCGATCGCCTAGCTAAAAGCTGCTCCTTTTGTCACCCATATGTCTCATCGTCTTATTGTTCCGTATGCATGCGCGCTCTGGGAAGTCTAGAATCCACAACACTCATCTGGTGTTTTTGGTGGCTGCTACGCGGCTCTCGTAACGGAGCCTCCAATCGATCAGCTTCTCATGTGCATAGAGACGAGTTGCGCGGATGTGATGTCATTTTCACTTAATCCGTTCTCTTTCCACTGCCCTATCCACATGCACATCACTGAACTCGTTCTGCTTCGTAACTACATAGATCAACTGTCGCCACTTGCCCGAACTGATGTTCACTTGTATCACCGATACACATCACTTGGACTTTTTGAACACTCGTTGTGGTTAAGGACGCCATTGTGGTTGTGCACCCAACAACAACGTTCTGCCCCGTTAGCGCAGACAGGATTATCTTTTTTTGACAGAAACCGTCTCACGCAGCTTCGTGGCGTTACGGTACGAATTCGCGCCCACCGTTTCTTTCCTCCTCCAACACGTAATCTCGGATAGGGTGATTGTGTTTGGTCAGCTGTTCCTGCGGAACACATCGACTTATTTGACTGTCACAATGGAGCGTGACTTCTGGTTGTCACACTACTTGGGGAAGCACAGGGTGACAGCTCTGGCAGGCGACGCCGTGAACTAGTCTTCGGTAACTTTTTGATATCAGTCGGTGGCGATGAAGTTGTATAGACTCACGCACAATTTGCTGTTTGCCTAATGTTACCTCAAATTCAGCTGATGGATCCCAGCTGATGCATATCAACCTCTGGAAAAGTCATAAAGTTGAATCACAGTTCGACCATTGTTCAATTGGAATTGTGCTGCGTGTGTTCGAGGCACCAGGAGTAACTGGGGGCTTAGGTTTGTTTTCTTCTTTCTCTTACTGGCTTCCGTAAGTAACAGTTTGATCACCAGAGCATCCAATGAAGCGATTCTCTTCACAAGCAGTGGTGCCAACAGAGCATTCTTTCTCATCGTTATGGGAATATTAGGAGTACTTCGTCACGAATCGAGTTCTCTCATACGCCCGAGACTATTCACACACTTTCCCCGCAATCATCTCTCGTGGCTTTACTAAGGTCCCTTTAATTGAATTGATTAGCACTGTTTATTTGGATGCTCCACTGCTGTCTAGATAGACAGCTGTATTAGGCTATTTCGCCTTATTTCTGGATTCAAACACACTAGCATTCTCGACTCATAGATTATAGTGACTTCTCCGATTTTCTTATCTGCCGTGAACGGTTTTTGTCGGTGATGCTTCGGGTTGCTTTATCCTCCGCTATTGAGCCACAGTAAGATATTATTTCGAAAAGCCATTGTCTGGTCACGTTTCAGGTGACGCGAGCAGCTCTGCCCACTTTTAACTGTCACATTCTCCATCTACCTACCCTTGTTCAACATTGACCGTATACCATGACAGCATTGTGCTAAGTTTCACTTTTACCGACCTACTTGGCGTGACTGAGCGTTTTTCACCGACTGCCAATTTGCCTATACTACTCCCGTTATTGCAGCTCAAATCACTGCCCGCAAAGATGTCATCCGAAACAAAATTCGAGCAATAGGGAAAATGGCCCGCGTGTTCACTGTACTACGGTGAGTTGTCGCGTTTCACTACTTGCATGCTGCCGCATCCTCATGTACCACCCCCCCTCCATACTGCTTGCAACGTCAGCCGAGTTGACTTTGTGAATGTGTGTTCTCATGCTCGCACCATTTCGTTCTCAGTTGGACAATCCGAAATGATGCCTTGTTTATCTGCGTCAAGCAGTGTACTGATCCTTCTCATTGGCTATCTTACAGGCCACAGTATTGCTTTCTCCACGTCAACCCCAACGGTGTAGCGTACTATGCACGAATCAGTGAAATATGCTTGGTGTAAGTGAAAATTCATCACATCTAGACTCAACAGACAGTCACTACACGCCCGGAAAAACACAGTTCGACCGTTTCGTCCTTTCGGGCATCATCAGCGGTGCGCATTCCATCTGACCCCTGTGGGCTGGAACCTACAGCTCAATTATTGCCAGCCTAGATGTGATGAATTTCCACTTGTGCCATTCGAATTCTTCTACTACTCTTTTCTAATCACTACGTAGACTAAACTGCTTATAAAACCGTAATTTAATTGCGACTTAAGTTCAGTATGTTCCTCGCTTTGTAAAGAGGCCACCCTGTCCTCTGCACGGCAGTAACGTGCAATTCAGTGGGTGACTGTATATGACATCTGGTAGTTTAGTCCTGATGGTCGGTGCCGTCCCCCGTATCTCAATAGTCTCAACCACAGACTGGCAACAGTGGAGTTGCGGATACGAGTCGTGTCAGGGTCAGATGGAATGCGCACAGCTGACGATTTTCGAAAAGATGCACTGGCCGTGCAGTGCTTTTCCGGGCGTCTTGTGACTGTCTGAGTGAGTCTAGATGTCATGAATTTCTAACTATACCATTCAACCCCCTATTACTCCTCTGAAATACGATTGGTCCATGCTATTACCTCAACTGACCGATCCTTGTCGGGTGCGCATGTGTCCAATCTCATTGGATCACGGTGCAGCTTATTCGATCCCAATCCGAACATGTTTTTGCACGTGTAATGGGATTCAGCCCACCCACATCAATCGAATATAGTACAGGGATGTCGTCATTCTTTTTCACTGTCCATCGCTACGCATGCGCACAACTCTGCTTTTTGAGATGAGAAAATTCTCCTTGTAGTACACTTGTCACACCTGCATCACGGTTTACTACTGGTTACTGAGGATATAGAGCGAGAAAATAAAAATCTGTGTCACTTCATCGTAGGTGGGTCGGGCACTTGCGCGGAATCACGTCGCTGATTCCTGCGCGGTGGCAGCATATTGCAGCTACACTACATCCCATCCGGGGGTGATGCGCTCCCTATACCTGTAGTCCGCAAAGTTAATTTATTCAGCGTCGTCCTTGATCCGCTGTAGGTTTTTTGTCTCTGTAGAACAGATTGCTTGAATTAGAGTCCACGCACTTATCCGGGTTATCTAGCACGCAATCCCACTTTGGATTATGTAACAGTAGATCACGCGGACATATAGAGCCATTGCATCCACTTTGCGGACTCAAGCCTTCTTACGTTAACTTGCACGGAGGGTTCTAATCAACGCTTGTAACCGACGCACATGGTCGGCAGTAACAGGTCTCCTTCGGTCAACTTCTCTTCTTTGGGTACACACTATAACTAATAAAACCTGGTGGATTATGTGACACGATCCCTCACGCAACTTGTTGAAACTAAAATGCTTTGCAAGTTAAAGAGATATTTAGCGTCCTTTTACGTAAGAGTAAGGTCGTGGGTTCGAATCCGGCAGGATTCGGCATGTGCACATCACTGACAACTTCCACAAGATGAAACTGCCGCCCAGCGCTTTTCTGGGTGTGTGGTGCTTTTCTGCCTGAGTCTAGCTGCGACGAATCTTCAAAAAACCCAATACATTCCCGTATGACTCACTAACCGTTGATGTTTTCGCCTAGCCTTCTTATTTCTAAACCTGACTGGCTCAAAGGCTTACTTACAAGTCGATTTAACCTTTGCAGTATCGTATTTCACATCTGAGTTGGTGGCGGCATCTCAGGGGCCATAAGTGTAAGTCTAGTGTCGAATTCACCTAGTCATTGTCAGAGTGCTCTAGTTATCCGCGGTCTCTAATCGAATTATCTGCGCCGTTGCTGATTACTGATTGCTGATTGGGAGCAGCAAGAAGAGATCTATGCGTAGCTGCATCTTATATCACTCAGGGACAGCGGACTGTTATGTTGGAGTGCGCTCGATATTTCTAACTCGGCAGTGTCTAGGAAGTTCTTGAGTTCCGACACCGACTTTGCCTCAACTACGTGCTGCATGTGGTTGTTCGCTACATTCACCACACTCCGTTCGAAACAGAGTTGGTGGGCAACCCGCTTTAAATCCAGTAGAACATGCTTGTGCCTGTTAAGATTGGGAGATGCCTCTGATAAGAATTTGAGCCTGATACGATTGTCACTGGCACGGTTGGAGCACGCCTATGGTAACGGTTTGGAACGCTGGCCAATCAAACAGATTTGCGCTGACGTGCTGGCGTTAGCTCAGCCCGTGGTAGGAGCTACTGAGGCGGAAATCGAGCTAGCGTGAGAACAATCCTAGCCACACGTATTCGGGTGGACGCTGAGCCCTCGTAACGGCTGAGGCTACGCACACGAGAGTGAGTGACGATAGACGCGCGCTAGTGGCAGACGCGAACGTTACCCGGCTATCGACGCACGCGAAAATCACGTGACCGAACCGACTCTCAACTAACGGCGAAGGAAAAGCAAGACAAGTGGTCCTCTTATGGCTGTTTGACGACCAACAGGGGGCGAATCACAGCCAATACTATGGGTCATTTAGTGGAAATAGCTACCGGGACGGGCTGGTAGTTTGTGAAAGAACATTGTCAACTTGTGCGTAGTTGTGCCGCTTCTCGGAGTGGCTGAAATCTGCTACGTTGGGAAAGGAATTGAACTCCGCTTTCCACAGCCATTACGTCGGAGTTTGTGGCGCGTTTTTGCTGGGATATTTGACGGGTTCGCTACAGTACCGATGTTTTCTTGTGATACTTGGTGTGTGCAGATGTAGCAGCGGCCTCAACACAGGTGTTCACTTATATATAATATGTGGTGCGTTCTGGTGAGGTCAACCTGCATTCGACGATAATATAGGATGTAAAGCCCTAGTATTCGTACGGCACACCTCGTAAATTGGGAATCAACATGATGGCCACATGCAAGCGTATCGCCGTCACAGGCGAGCCTACTTCTGATTTGACCGCGGATGTCGGGAACTTTTCGGCTTTGCTCGTCTCTGCCACTGCACTGGAACATCCATTTCTTCTCTTGGGACTTTCCTACTTTAGTTACCTGAAATTAGAGATCGAAACAGTTTGTTTCCGAATGGCTTTCTCCATCCGAAAGTCGCAGGTGCCATGTTGCCTCATACCGACCAGTGCCATATTGGCCACACACCCGATGTGCACAAGCGAGCATCAGCCGTTAAATGGTCAGACTGGTTCTATAAACCAGCAGATAAGAATGGATACGTTGCGTTGATTCGAATCCGTATCACATGTACTGTTTCATCGTTAACCTATTGGAGATTTAATGGCGCTGACCATGTTGATGATAATGGGGTGTCACCCTAATGTCTACTCAGCTACTAACACATATCCGCGCTTCTACATACAACGATCGAGGGAGTCACTTAAGACACTTTTGCAATTTTCAGTCGACTGTTTGACTTAAGAACGCGATTCCAGCTAGGCTTTACATTGTCGAACATCACGAGGGCCTGTTATCATTCCTATGACAATCCGATTCCATCTATTATCTGGTTTGTAAATTTGTCTACTAGGGGCCACCATGCTATGCAACATTTGTCGTGCTCTATCCCAGAGGTCACCAAATTTCGATCCGCAACGTCTGTTTGTCCTGTCCGTTGACTCAACCCGTTTATCTGATCAAGCGCGTGAAACAGGGGACTTGATGATACTAGTTACCTCTGACACTGCTTGTCATATTGTCGGTGACTTTACACTGTTTGGACATTAGCATCGACCAGCTCGCGATCGTTACATGTCACACCGTACTATCGTACTGTCAATGATCCCAGCTTGTTGGATTATTGATGTGAGTGATCACGTATGAAATCCCTGCACCCTACTGTGTACCTCATATCTGTGCCGCCATTTTCCGTTGATTCGTTCATATTATGTAGAACGCTGCCTAGTAAGATATCGTTAGGACACGTCATTTTTGAGCCATATTTGCTGACTATTTGGTTCGGATTACAAGTTGTTGACATAAAATTGGGTTGGCAGCACAAATTGCTGAGGTTCATACATTTTGATATTACTGACTACTGAAGATAACTTTGGACCTTTGGTGAGCCATTATTCCACCAAACGACTTCGAATTTTTCAGGTGTTTCAACGGGATATGTATTAGGTTCCTCACTTATTAGCTTCCTTATGTAGCCTAAAGATAACAAGCTTATCTTGTACTCTGGCGGCTCGCGTTTGATCCTGCATAGGAGCAAGACGACCCTCACAGTATCCTTAGCCCACGTGCGACCGGTGGGGGTTGCGCGGCAGCGAAGCGTCGGTACTGTGTACCGGCGCACTGCTGATACCTATTTTTCTTATTCATATGTCGTTTGCTCCAACCTACATTATGGTTACTAAGAAGAAAAGTTTTCGCGAAACGTTGCATCTTCTTCATCTTTTCTTCGAGAGTTCTCCTTTTGGCTTGCAATTGTTGTGCAGAATGATTATGCAGCCCACGCTAGTCAATTTGCCAGTTGTCCGGCTCTATGTGAAAAAGTTTGGGACCCCTAATCTAGACGTTGCATCCTTTTATGCTTGTGTTCCGTTCCGCGCGCGCCCGTATGTTTCTATGTGTGTACGTGTGTGTATGTACTTTCGTATCACTTTTCCTGTTTCTCACGCATTGACCATCCTCCGCTATTGCTTTGACACACGTACAGGGAGGAGAGCGAAACTATTCTAGAGCTCAAAGGATTAACCCCAACTGGTATGCTTCCCTTGGGAGCACTGGCTGGAGGTCGGGAAGCTATCAAAGGAGGTGAGTTCATGCCTTCCGTTCCCATTTCTATCGACCATCTTCATCTTCGGATACTATTTATTGTTCGTCGCCGATACTGCTTTTATGGTTTACAACCTGGCACCGACACATTAAAGGAGAATGTTGAAACTTGTGTGTGTGTGTGTGTGTGTGTGCAATCGGACTGATGCATTGGTTGCCCATTCACAGTGTGGCTTAAAATTTGCTCGCTACTGTGATTCGCTTTGACACTCGATTTGTTTCGCCTCGCTTCGTAGCTTCGCGTAGCCGCCTCTGTCCACATGGTACATGCTATTCTAACAACCTGGTTTGCGGGAGACGACAAGGTAGTTCAGTCTGTGATAACACAAGGAGCGATTTGGAAAATATGCTCTACCACACTTATTTTGAAAAAATCACACTCACCAATCAAACAACGACCTGGCTACCGTGCTATTAGATACCTTCTGTTTTTCATTCCGTCTGTTGCTGTGACTGAAACCAGACACATGGCACATACGGTTACCGATCTACTCGCCCTCTGAGAGTCCAATCTACGTTTGCGCAGCCTTCAAAACTCTGTTACTCACGTAACTGTGTAGGCTCGTTTCTATCGCACACATAACTTGTAACGACTTTTCATCGGCTCTTCGTCGTTGCCACAGCTGTCTTACATGGGACCGTGTTGGGCTCGATTCGCTCTAGGCTGCTTCGATTCTGCGTTGATCACCTCGCTTGTACAACCGTGTTCAGTTCGCGTAGACAATACCCAGCTCGTTTTATGTCCAATGGTCTTGCAGTACTGATTATGTGGACAGCTGGATTCTTTTGGAAATTTCATCTCAGCTGTAACCGGCCAGACAGTTACCACACACCCAGGAAAGCGTAAGGCGGCCGTTCGCTCCTATCTGGACTCACTGGTGGCTTACATCTGCCTAATCCTCTCTGATTCGAACCTATGAACTTACTCTTACGAGTCAGTGAGTCAAACCACTGAGTCGCAGCTGACGGCAGCTAGCTGCTGTGACTGAGTTCTGTTGCGACATAGCTTGGATCTACCTCCACTATTATGCATGTTACGAATAAGTAGCCACTAGTCGAGCTGGGTTTTTGCATTGCACCAACCTGGACTTGGCTATGAGAGACTTTCTTTGGCAGTGGTATCCAAGGAGCGCTCGTTGTGTATCGTCCAAATCAAAGTGCAACCAACATCACGCGATTGCGCGCTGTATTTGAAGGTCCCATCGTGTTTTAAAAAATCAAGCACACTTTGTCAACATTCGCCTCATGTCAGCGAAACTGGATAAGTGATGTGAACACTATGTACATGGCAACTGTTGCGACGGGGTGTAACATTTGCCGCACTAACCGTAGATGCAGCAGGCACAACCGTCTCGCTGAATAAGTGACACACTTCCGGACATTGCCAACAGGTGCCACGTTTACCGAAAGAAAATGCCTCCTTAGTGCACTATGTGGTGCGACGTTGTTTCACTGATTGCGTTCAACAAGCGTGCAGGTAAAACTGAAGTTGGGCTAGCTGGATTAAAACAACAGAGTACTTTCCGTGCACACGAGGGCAACGGGGAACAAGATCCGTAGCCGTTTTCAAAACGATTGAGTGAAATAAGGCGTCTCAGTTTGATGAGTGCAAGACGGGATTCAGTTGTGAAATCTCATCTCCAACACCACTAGCCGTGATGCAACCCACTAAATATGTGAAAAAACGACTTAAATAGATAAATAATTTTGTCTTTTTACTGATAGGCGCTATACAACCCTTAGGTGAGAGCGAGCATCTGTGATGATAGGAAATAGGATTTCCCGCTCATAACTTTTCTCACAGATCAGCGACCTGCTCGCCCACAGTGGATTCATCCAATACGAATATTTGTAATGCTGTTTTCAAATTTTCTTCACATCAAAACCCTGGAGCAGTCAATGATAGGCTGAGGAAGGGTAGATGGCACAAGCCCAAGTTTCATCGTGTGGGTTGATATAACGAAAGGATACTGTAGGCTATCAGCTCTTCATATGTGGTTTAGGTCAGAATCCGTTAATATTTCTGGCGATTGCTGTGACCCGAATATATTTAACATATTCAGTGTAGTGGGAAGTCTGTAGAGTTGTTCGGAATGTGGCAAGATTTGAATTCGCGCGAACCTTTAGGGAGAGTTGGTTATACAGATTGGCATATCTCACTTAGATGAAAGTCGATCTGATTTAATGACAGGTTTTCTGAGTAACAACTAGTCGCCATTACCGGTGTTCTAGAGTGTCATCAATAATGATGAGTGCGGGTACAGACACCTATCTCTCAATCCTGGAGTAGTATTTTACGTTAGACTGAGGTGAAATACAAACCGTACTTGGGTACCTCATCGCTAATTGTTTCAAAGTGTTTTGGACGGCTTGTGAATCACCACTCCCTTAGCAAAGCGATATCGTCGGTGTCATCTAAGTCTGCGACCCTGTTTCCAGGAAAAAGCCCAACGCGCACTTCTGGACACCTATTGTTGGTTGCACAACCTTTTCAATAGCAAAATTGAAGAGGGAAAGCGAAATAAAGCAATCTTGGCGAGCGCCGCTGATGACAACAAACTTTGTCCTACGATTCCGAAATTATTAAGAATACATGTAGCTCGGGGTATGGATGTGTGGGTCGTTTTATCTCTGAGCTATGCATCTTCCTTACAGACATTTCGTTGCCAAGCTTTGCAACGTTATCCATTCGTCTTTTTAGGTTTGATTCGCGCATCTGACCAATGACAACGTTTCTGTCCCTTCCCTACCACACTGCCACTTCTACGTATTTGTTACCTCTACCAACGACCAGTTTCCTCGTCTGGATCGCCACATCACCTATGGTAGTCACATCACTCAGCAGATCACCGCAAATATTGTCAAAGCCCATGTGGCTTTTCAAAGTTTCATTCGTTGAGAGAGACCGTGTGATGAATGCTTAATGGTTTAGAGAAAGGTGTATAAAGCTGCAACTTGATCGGTGTTACTGAATGAATTAGAGACTGTTTTTGACTATCGATGGTTCACATCTCGTAGGCGGGCCGACCATGCACTACTGAAGTTTGGGATACGGTCTCTCTGGTTTCTGCATTGGGTTGCCTGTTGAACCCAGTCGTCTCCAGTGTCTGGGTCATATATTCAGCACGCTTTGCAAGTCGGATGCCACTACGTAAATTGTTTAGCAATATCCCATGTGCTCTAACATCTCAAGATCATTTTAGAACCCCTTCGCCTGACTGCATGTTTATGATTGCTTGACGCCATGTTTGTGTCGTTTTTGCTTGAATCCTACTAAACAAAGTCGTTTTACACTTGTCGATTCTCGGTATTTTTGAGTGTCCCAAAGATCGAAAGTGAACCTCGCTCGCACAGGCATGTCCACTGTCTTCTGCTATTCCGATTGCCTGTTTAAAGTGTTTTTAGTGCTTTTATCTGCGGGATACTGGCTGATTATGGCGCGTGGCAGGGAAAGCCGCAAGGAAATTGTCTGCCTGATATCGCCTTACATTTACACCGTAGCCACCTTTTTGACCATGTGTTGTTAGTAACGTGTAGCCGCCTCTCCCTGGATGTTTGCTTTAGGACATTAAAGTTTTGCCATAGGTCTCCTCTTTTGTTATTATTCGTTCCGCAGGTCATCGCAGTTGTAGGGCAGAGGACTGTCAGTTCAGATGGCTGATGTACTGCTGTTGATGATGATGCGCATGCGATTTCTTGCAACACCTCTCTTTCCTTTTCACTGATTTAGCAATGAGTGGATCCTGGACACCCCACAAAATCCAATGTTTTGAAGAGGCAAAGGCGATCGACAAGGTTAACGAGCGAATGCCTCCCCATCGGGATTCCAATTCGAGTCCATGCTGGTCATATTCCGCACCGATCCCCAACGAATTGGAAGCGCCAAAAACATCTGAATCCCGTCTGAGTAGTGTAATGGATTACATCTCAGAGGATGATAACGTCACTTTGTCCCTGAATCAGCAACGCACTATGCCAAGGCCTCCATCCATTTGCGAGGAACGCTCCTCGGATGATGAATCAGAGTACCGTACTCCAACCGCCAACACCACACTAAAGGATTGTGGCCGACCACCTAGCAACGAGTCCACTGATTGCCGCGGGGCCGACAGTGTCTCGGGTTTTGTGAGCGGCGACCAACCTCAATCAGCGGCAATTCCATCCCCCATTGCCGGTTCGAGCTCCTCTTCCTCGACAACCAAATGACGCCCTTCAAACACTTGGATATCTCCCCGCTGCACTCCAACGCTCAACGCCTGTTATCAGTCCTCTCCCCATAACCTCCTTCCCCCAAGGGGCTGCATCAGATTTCCAATGGGTTATGTCGGCTGGTAACTACAGTGCAAACCGGTTCACACGCGATCTCTTCCACTCCCCTTTCGCGTGCATCACACCCTATCCTCTCTGACCCATGCAATATCCCAGCTGGGCTACCCACGGCTATTATGTACCCCATTCCGACACCTGTTCTGACTGGCGCTTTTGATCAAAGCAAACCCATTCCCCATTTCACTCTTGCTAACACTGCTGTTGTCACAGCTACCGATGTCACATGCGCTGTGCCTGGATTTAGCTGGGGCCCAATTCCACTCATCTTCTACACACCTGCTCAGCACCTGTACTCATTTCCCTGGTCTTGTTGTCTGTGAGTGATACTGCCCGTTTGTGTGCTGCGTGAGGAACCGTCGACATCTGTGATTTTCGTGTTCCGCGCACACCAGTTACCGCCGATCATGTGATACAATTGTCAGAACGGATCCCTTGCCCGAAATCGTCCACGTTGACTTGTCTTCGTCTCTCATCCATCTCTTCCTGCCTGAGTTCTCTCGCTCCCCCATCAGTCCTTAAGAAGCGCGACTACTGTTTACACATAATGACAGAAATGCCCGATATGCAGCTTGTTCCCTATTACATCACACTTATTTCTTTTGTGCAGCGAATTACCCCGACCCATGTTTGTCTATTGATCTGCATTTTGTACAGTCTCCCGAATGCATCTATCACCAGCAATACCCCTACCATCCCCCTCCACCTTCTTCATTTCCCTTTTTGTCATTTGATTTTGTTGGACAATGGCTTACTAGATTATTTGTTTGATTTCTTTCTTCCTCTACACACTGGCTCGCATCAACGTGTGGGATGGTGATGAGTACCCCTCAGATTGCATTTGTGGAACACTCCACGGACTAGGAGGTCAGCTATCTCACCCTGATCACTGGAGCCTACCGTCTTTGTGCGCACACGTGTACCGCTCTGCTCCGCTTGCCTGCTAGCTCACGTCTCCCCACCCCACCCTATTGGTGTAATGTTTCTCTCATTTTGCATCTTCTCTACTCTCCTCGTATCATTTCTCTTCGGTTGCAGTTTATCTTCCGTATGCTGCTTGTTGGTGCCAATTCCTGTCACTACAATACTAATTTGTTACCCTCTTACCGTACAAGCGAATTTCTGTGTATGTGTGTGTGATTCCCCCATGCGCACCTCGGTTCAGACCATCGTTGCAGTGTGACATTTAGTTGTTTGTGCCTCCTGTGTGTGGGGTCGATCACGTAGCATTCATTTCGCGAACGACCATGTTGGCACCAGCCCACATCGGGTATTTGTGAATCGGCGAATTACTACCGGTAGTCCGTCATGTCTACTTCACAAGATTTGTGATTTGTTTCCCGCGGCTTAGCCCACATCGTACACTCGGCGAGCCTGATTATTGTTCACGTGTCTTCGATTAGTTGTCCATGGGATTTGCTAGATAGCCGCCATCAGCGGTATCATCGTCACCATATTTCTTGTGGTATATTTGTCTCCGTGATTATCATCTAACCATTCTGAAGTGGGGCTAAGGCACAGTAGCTGAGGTATTTCGCACCGCTAGCTAACCTGTATAATGATGATGATGATGATGGGGCGAAAGCTAACGGGGAAATAATTCGTCCTTTTGAGATGGGAGTAACGTTCTCATTTGCACATTTAGTTGGCCAGCCAGAAACATCGTTATTCGACCAATTAAAGGGTTACTCTTACCGGGCTCGCTTCTATTTCCCCTGTTTTCCCGCGTAAATGACCGCCCTCCAGTGCAATGATTGGGGATGGCAACCCCTAAATCATCCATTTCAATGATGATCCCAGTAATCGGAATTCCAGAAGCTCACTTCAGAACCCATCGAAGCCATAGTTGAGATTGTGTCGCAATCCAAGACACACGGGTGGTACTGGAAAACCCAACATTCAACAATTGACTAATTGATTGTTCACTGTGTGATCAAAATACCGGCAGTCTTATTCAACGTATGTCGATGTCAACAGGTAGCTGAAACTAATTGGAGGGTCAAGTTTGAACTACACATTGTGTGATTGGATTGCGACGCACAATCTCAATGTAATGGACTGTGATTCACATTGAAATGAACCTTAGTCACTGCGATCACTGGGACCGTATTCAAAGTAGATTGAAATTGGGTGTTGCCCACCCGAAAACACTGCACAACCACGACGCGTTTCGATGTAATTTCATCTCATCAGGTGGAGACAGCAGGCCTCGATCCGGCGACCATTGGAATAGTAGCCGAAACCTCTACCCCTCTGGCTACCGGGTCACAGTGGACAACGCTTTTGGCACAACGGTAATGACTAATTGGAGGGTCAAAGGTAGCTGAAACGTTCAGCAGAATGGTGTTCGGAGAATTCAATTCGGAAATCGGATGTATTTTGTGGTGTTAAGGGTGGTCCATTAGCTGCTTTCGGATTCTACGTGCAATGCTAAAAGACTGATAATGAACGCACCATAAAACAACAAGTGGTGTGCGATATAATGTAACCTTAGGTACTCGAAATTGAATCACTGGTACATTACTTTTTCTATAAGCATTGATTAAAGTAGGCGGAGATTATGGGATCTATTTGGTCTGGAATGCCACGTTGTATATATTCTGGGTTTTTCGGAAAAATACGGAATCGTTTCCGTATCCCACATTTCCATCCTTGCAATTACGGTTATGCTGCCAGGGGTGTAACTCCAAAGCGAACTCATAAACAGATGTATGGGCCAACTGAAGTATGTCCTATGACTGAGTACGTTAACGATATGCACACGGTGCTGGTAACTTGAAAGTAAGCCTTATTCCGTACTGAATCAAGAAGACAGCACCGCGAGGTAATCGGTAGAGTGATTTCCCTAACAAATCCCAGGCGAGGTCAATCCAAGAGCACGTAAGTACACACAAAACGTACCCGTTGTGGCCATATTGCCATGTCAATTTCAGTCTGCGTGTGACTGGGACTCGAGTTGATTAGTGAAGTGGGCAGGAGGCGAACTGTCGCTGTTAATCGAGCTTACTCACAAAAATCACTCAAGCCTGATTCCACGCGGGTAGTCTTAGCCCAGGCTCACGCTGAACCAGCTCGAAGCTAATTGGCCAGCAGCCACCCAATGACAGCGCTTCTTTCGTTGGGGTTACCCAGTGAAAACATTTTTTGGCTTAAATCGCTTCGCTTCATCAGGTATTTTCTCACAGCTCGGATTCAGCTACTAGGTCATTTGAACTGTTTACTTCAGATTCATTCCACTGTTTAAACGCTGTATTTTTTTGGACTTGATTGGAGGTTTTGACGAGCCCTTTTTGATTGACGAAGTGGCTGGACTGGGAATCGGACAGCTGTATCGGTTATCGTTGTATCGGCGGAAACATAGCAGTCGCGTTGAAGCCCCACTTTCTTCTCTCAACATTCCGATGTTAGGGCTCATGTGCCGCTCTTTTCAACTCGTAGATGTTTTACCCGTCGACGTTCAACGTTTTGCTGTTCTTACTTGCGTGACACCTGCTGCCATGGTTTGTACAGGTTTATGTTGTACTGAACGATCAGCTTCAGGTTCACCATATACAAGATGCATCCGACATCATCCCTAGTGCCTCTCGTAGTCTATTTACTTCGCTCCAGCCGAGCTCTGCCTCCTTTTTGCCTAAAACTGTGAGATTAGAATATGTGGAGCATTGGTTGAAATTCACTCGTGGGTGCAGCGGATGCGTCCTGCGGGTGACCACACTGGTCGCCCGCTGGATTTTATGCCCGCTGGCTTCCTTGTGTTTTCGACTGCTGCAATTTCCCGGCTAGTTTGTTTTACTACCGTGACGACTGGTTTACGATAGACCTAACCAACCCTGAGATCTATCCAACTTACGCAATTGTCTTCAACTCCGTCATGATGGGAAATATTGTCTTAGCTTGGTATACCGAGAGGACGGGATTCACACTAGACGCTGGTTATCGCTTTGCGCCGAATATACCACTGAGACATTTAAAGCCAAATAACCCGGCTCGGCGGGTAATTCAACAATCAATCCCAGTACTGATACTCCAAATTATCGGGAACATTAACCCCACTTGATCGGCTGGTTACCCAATGGATCCACGAGTATTCCCCGTACTATAGTGGTTAGTCACCGATAACGCTTAGCAGCGTTCGCGAATCGTGCACTCGAGTTGTGGACGATGCTGCGACAAGACCAATGAGCAGCATGGAACTTCACCTTTCAACTTAAGCAATAATTGTTACAATGGACTACCGAGTACATCCATTTAGGAGCATCTCTATGGAAGATGACTAGCAACAGGCTAGCATTAGGGTGAATAAAACCGACCAAAATCATTCTCGCGAAACCAGATCGCTTCAACGGGCAAGCAATCTCCAGGCACAATTTGCGTTGCCTGTGTGGTGTACGTACAACTCGTAGGCGATTAGCGTCATATGGTGTCTGTGCAGCTTGAGACGGAGGAGGTTGACGATCGACCCTTACTCCCACCTTTTTCTACAGTGGACCGTAGTCGCTATCAGTTTCGGTACGTTGTGGTGTCAACTCCGTTCGTACGTTCCGCCGCCACTCCGGACATAGCACAGTCCCCCCAACGTGCATCCTTCGCGCAGAGCACTTCTATAGTCAGCGGCGGTTCATTTATGTGATTTGTCCATACAAGTAATATGGGTGCCTAAAATAATAGATGTTAGCTGCAAGTTTAGCCTTGATTTGTTGCTACTTATTTTTCCGGTCTGTATGATGTACAGTGTCCACGTCAGAAGGCAGTTGCCATAGCCGGTCACTGTCCAGTTCAGTATAGATACGATTTTCCCTGCTCCTCCTGATTATGACGATTTTTCATCTGTTCTCTACTTCTCTGTTAGTAACGAACTATTAAATGTATTAAAGCTGCTCGCCACTTTGTCCATCCTTCTCAACTGCATCTTCCGGAGCTCTCCGTTGAAACTGTTATGCTTGCACGTTATAGCTCTGCTGTGGAGACGGCATACTTTTCCCATTTCGAGTGCGGTACAAAAGTACGGTGTGCCATCACCAACCTCAATCTGTTTATGTTGTGATATCACAATCTATATTTGGAAATTGTCACTGAAGCAGTTTGCAGTAGTAGTATATTGTGAGTGGTTTTGTTCTCTCATCGTCATCATACCCCCCCCCCGACTCCAGTGTTTGCCACTTGTGCCACGTGTGGTGCTGTTCCATAGGTTTCAGTATCTTTGCTGGTTCCGATACAGGTTGGTCCCAATGTGCTTGCTCTCTAACCGATTGCTCATCCGCCATTCATATTGGCTCAGTGGAAATAAGACTTGGTTTCTTTGGGAGCACGACATCCCTATAGCACGTATCGGCGATTAGGTTGTCGATATTTCTATAGTGTTATTACGGAGGTGGGGGTCAAGTGATAGCCGTAATTTGCACCTCATGTAACTTATTCTTGTTAATATCAAAGGTTTTATCATCTAAACTTATGATCCAAATTACATGCACCCTGACGTCATTACATAATAACAATGCCGGTTGTTCCATCACAGGCTTACAGCAAAGGTGAGCAGTTTAGTGGTAACCGGTATATTAGTTCACAAGACAGATCGAGTTGCAGAGATGCACAACACAGGGTGGACGCTGCTAGCTGGGGGGAGGGGTTGACCAAAAGAGTGCAGCACTCAGAACGGTCGCGCATTGCACCCAAAACGAGCGCCAACCGAAATAGCGGTAGCTTAACTCAAACAATCGAGGTCAACATGTGATTAAACAGTCCCCACCGATCGCCAAAATGTACAATGAAATAATAATAATTGTAGTTAAAAGTTTTCACATGCAAACCGGAGGAATCTCCGGACTGCTGCATAGTCCTCTCCTGACTGTAACTGCGTAAGCAGTCCTTCGATCTATGTAAGGGCTAGCTGTCCGTCACTTCGGGCTTTGCTTCGCACCCTCGAAGTGCAAAGCGTTCCTCCAAGATTGGCAGGGACCGCCTCCTTCGCTGACCCTTGGTGGGGATCAGCTAGAAGTCGTTCAAAAATTCAACTACCTGGGAAGTTGTATCAGCGCCCATGGGATTGAAGATGAAATCACGAATCGTATAGCAAAAGCTCTGGGCGCTTTTGCTAACCTTCCCCACTTATGG